TGTGACTGTTTCTCTCTGTCCAAAGGGGATTTGGTTACTAATGAATACATTTTATCTTGTAAAGATGGTGATAAAGTGAAAGGAACATTCTCACCGATGGAGCTAATAACTTTTCCATTCAGACCAGAGTCCAAGTCATTTACACTGATCAGAGCAACTGTAGTTCCAGGTCTGGAGTCTTCAGGGATGGAGCTTGAAAGCGAGGTGACCTCAATCTGAGGTGTGTTGTCATTCACATCAACTATCTTGATAATGACACTTTTTTGAGTCGATAGAGGAACAAGACCTTTATCTGATGCTTGGATTTCAATTTCATATTTATTCTTATCTTCATAGTCTATGGGACCTTTTACTGTTATCTCCCCTGTTGATGGATTTATTTCAAAAAGCTTAAATAACTTGTGATTTACACTGTTGCTAAATGAATAAACTACATCTCCATTTGGTCCGTGATCCAAATCAGTTGCATTCACTTGCATGACTGTTGTGCCTACTGCAGCATTTTCATCGAGCATCACAGAATAAACTTCCTTAGTAAACGATGGTGTGTTATCATTAACATCTAAAACATTTATTATAATATTCATTTCCCCGGATTTTGGAGGTTTTCCTCCATCCAGTGCAGTCAGCACCAATGAGTGACTTTCTGCTGCCTCCCTATCTAACGATTTTTGCACAATTAATACTGGTATTTTACCATCTTCGCCTTTATCTTTAACTTCTAAACGAAAGTGGTCATTAGAGCTTAGTTTATACTGCTGAACAGAAAAGGGACCACCGTCTGTATCTCGTGCGGATTGAAGCGGAATACGTACTCCCGGTAACACAGACTCGAAAATGTCCAGCGTTTTATCTTTCTCAGGGAAAGTGGGAGAGTGATCATTTATATCCAGCACCTCCACTCCCACATAGTGAACCTCCAGTGGGTTTTCCAACACGGTTTTTAGATCCATCATACATGTGCTGGTCCGCTCGCACACCTCCTCTCTGTCAATCTTCCGGCTCACATACAGGATGCCATCGTTCTGATTTACATGGAAAAGAGGATCCGCGTTACTGGAGACAATGCGATACTTCCT